GAAAACTTTTCAGCATTCCCCTTAAGCGGCAAAAAACTGGCTCTGACTACAGAGTTAATTTGTTTGTCAAATTTCAATTCAGGATCAAAAATAACTCCCAGATTTTTAATCTTTTCATGGATGTTTTCTTCAAAAGGGCCCAGAGTAGGTCTTAAATTATGTAAATGGTGAGAAGGGCCAAACGTTTTTTGATTCAACAGTAGGAAATTATTTTCCATTCAATTCTTGATGTCTTCTAAACAAGCCAGCAAGGAAGACACTGAATCAGAACCTGAATTTAGAGGGAAATAAAGCTGAGTGTCATCTGCGTAAATGTGGTATGAAACTTTATGAGACTCAAATATAAAATGAAGAGGGAGCAAATACAGGGAGAATAAAATTGGACCCAAAATAGAGCCCTGGGGTACTCCACAAGTGATGGGAACTGAGCTTGATGAAAATTCACCAATTTCCACCGAAAAGCTCCTATTTGTGAGATACGATGCAAACCAGTCTTATGCAGTACCACAAATGCCAACCTCAAGATTTTATCTTTTTAACAGGATAAGGTGATCTTTCTGTATCGAAAGCTGCACTCAGGTCCAATAATAAGAGAAATGGCAGTTTTGAAATAGGCCTATAATTATTTAATTCAGTGGGATCAAGATTAGTTTTTTTGAGTAAAGGCTGGACCACAGCATGTTTAAGACAGGAAGGGACAGTGCCTGTCTGTACAGAACCATTAATAATAGAGAGTAAGCAAGGCAAAATAGAGGGCAGAACATCATTCAGCAACTTTGTAGGAACAACATCACAAGAACAAGTAGTTTATTTCATATTTAAAATAAAACAACTCAGAAAGTGAGATAGCTTGAAAGTTTGAAAACACAGAGGAGCTAGTGTTTTCATATTGAAAATTCTGGGATAAATTACAAGAAATCTGCACCCTGATAGAAGCAATCTTGTTAATGAAGAAGTTACAAAACTTCTCACATAACTCTAAGCTAGGATCTGGGCCAGTTGGTCTAGATGGGTTTAACACAGAATTTAGCTTAGAAAACTAAATCTTTGGACAATGAGAATTTTTTAAAATTAAAACCAACACCAGCTGACTCTGCAATGCGTGTGTGTTTAGTAACATGATTACTGACTGGATGACTAGATGTAAGATAGATGACTAGTACATGCAACTTCACCAAACTGCTCCAAAACCAGCCTAAATTTTGTCCACCTGCAAAGTCAAATTCAAAAAAGATTGGTTGCAACTATCTGTTTGTCTGACCTGTGAAAGATAGGTAGAGTGTTTGAAAACATATTTTTGCAGTTCTATTTATGTAACAATAAAAGTGTTGTTTTTGTGTCCATTTCTTATTTTCTTATTTACTGCCGAGGTTCTCCTTCCAAACCTGAAAGAAATTACGATGCAATCGAAATATGAGTCGGAAGCAGAATTGCATCCTTGCAAAGTATTTCACAAATGAAATGTGCTAGATATCTGCCAGTGAAATAGAGACATTATTGTTTTGAGACCCGCTGAGCTCAGTAAGCTGCAGGAGCTGGGAATGTGCACCACAGATGAGTTTTAACCCAAAAATAACCTGGCTTTGACTGCGGTGGGGGAAGATGCTGACGTCTCCAGCCGGGCCCAGATGAGGCAGTAACTCAGCATGTCCTCCCCTGCTACTGTTTTATTTAGCACCAATTCCTTCCAGACTTCCCTCGCCACAACCGTTTTTTTAGCAGAGCTATACTCACCGAAAGAGAGAATGTATACGTTCGTTTTTAGTGTGTGCATGTGGCTGAAGTGAGTGGGGTTAAAAATAGATTCAGGATAATTAGCCTAATAAGGACTAATGTGGGATGAGGAGTGAATTAGCATAATCGTTTGAAGGGGACTGGGGACTGGATTTAATTCATCGCTTGCTAACTGCAGTCTCCAGGCTGCAGCCAAATGGAGACTTGCCAAAGAACAGAGAGCATCATGCTCAGCTGCTTCTTTCAACATATGACTGCTTTCCTCGATGCTATTCAGTTTCCATGGTGATTAAAATGTTGTCATACACACATAAGGTCCTCAGAGTGTTTTAAACTTTGTCCTCACTGATATTTACCTTGGTACAGGAGGTTTTAGGCCCTCCACTTCTCTTTAATTGTGGTAAAATCAAACAGTTTTGCTTTAATAAACTTCTCCAGAGTGATATAAGACTCAATTTATTGGGTATAATTTTGCAGGAATGACTAGCTGAGTGCACATTAGATTTTTATGAAGCTGTATGTATGTAAACAGTATCTTGATGACGTTTGGAAGTGCTGATGTGGTTTCATGTTTTGGTCTTGCTCTCCATTAATGTGAATGTCATGATTGTGATGTGATGGATTATGGAGACAGACTCAGCAAACTGGTGTGTCATTAGTTCCTGTGCTCTCACTGTGTGCAGGGGCTCCGGGAGCCGTATGCCTAGGGACCACTGGCCATTATCATGCTCTACTTTCTCTCAGCGCAGACTCACAGAAAAGATTGGCTTCTCTTTTTTTGATTCTGTGGCAGTGACTTTGCTGGTAGAGATTTAATGTCCTTAAAGGGGTCATATGATGTTGCTAAAATCTTTTTGGATTTGAGACTTTAGTCTTTGCAACTTTACAGATCTTCTTTATGCACCAAGAGCTTGTAACACTCCAAAGAGAAAGGAAAAATTTAAATCGCATCATATGACCTCTTTAAGTTAAGTCTGTAAAACCTAAAATGTTGCTACCATAGCTGCCAGTATTTAACTACCGTAAACGTCACAGATGTTTTTTTTTTTACAGTGCACTTACGAAAACTAACAAAAACACACCTTGGCTTGATGTAGCCTAGTAGAACATAGTTAGAATTACCTGAAATGCAATACATGGGGGCAAAAAAATCCCTGTATGAGTTTTTGTCTTATATTTATATATATATACAGTGGGTACGGAAAGTATTCAGACCCCCTTAAATTTTTCACTCTTTGTTATATTGCAGCCATTTGCTAAAATCATTTAAGTAAATTTTTTTTCCTCATTAATGTACACACAGCACCCCATATTGACAGAAAAACACAGAATTGTTGACATTTTTGCAGATTTATTAAAAAAGAAAAACTGAAATATCACATGGTCCTAAGTATTCAGACCCTTTGCTCAGTATTTAGTAGAAGCACCCTTTTGATCGAATACAGCCATGAGTCTTTTTGGGAAAGAGGCAACAAGTTTTTCACACCTGGATTTGGGAATCCTCTGCCATTCCTCCTTGCAGAGCCTCTCCAGTTCTGTCAGGTTGGATAGTAAACGTTGGTGGACAGCCATTTTTAGGTCTCTCCAGAGATGCTCAATTGAGTTTAAGTCAGGGCTCTGGCTGGGCCATTCAAGAACAGTCACAGAGTTGTTGTGAAGCCACTCCTTCGTTATTTTAGCGGTGTGCTTAGGGTCATTGTCTTGTTGGAAGGTAAACCTTCAGCCCAGTCTGAGGTCCTGAGCACTCTGGAGAAAGTTTTCGTCCAGGATAACCCTGTACTTGGCCGCATTCATCTTTCCCTCAATTGCAACCAGTCGTCCTGTCCCTGCAGCTGAAAAACACCCCCACAGCATGATGCTGCCACCACCATGCTTCATTTTTTTTTTTTTTTTGTGAGTGAGATTAATTAATGCATATTTATATTTATTTTAGAACTACAGTAACATCTTCTGATTTCTCTCAACATGGGCACAGGAGAGCTGTCAGCCAATAAATTGGAAAAAAAGAGAAAAAAAAGTAACTTGCGTTACTTATTTGAAAAAGTAACTCAGATATTCTCTTGTAAATTAAAAAGTAATTTGTTACTTTACTAGTTACTTGAAAAACAGTAATCTGATTACGTAACTCGCGTTACTTGTAATGGGTTACCCCCAACACTGCTGGTAAATATGTCTGAATGGCCATCAGGACACAAATTTATACAAGAATGTGATGAAGAAACACGGAGTAATGCCAAGTTTTTGCACTGATGCCAGACTGTATACATGTATACAATGCCGTTTGAATGTATTTAAAAAGACGTTTCTTATGCTCATCTAGGCTGCATTTATTTGATAAAAAATACAGTAAAAACAGTAATATTGTGAAATATTAATGCAATTTAAAGTAACAGTTTTCTATTTTAATATAATTTAAAATACAATTTATTTATTTGATGCAAAGCTGAATTTTCAGCATCATTACTCAAGTCTTCAGTGCCACATGATCTTCAGAAATCATTCTAATATTCTGATTTATTATTAGTGTTGAAAGTTTTTTTTTTTGGAACCTGTGATAGTTTTTTTCAGGATTCTTTGATGAATAAAAAAGTTAAAAAGAACAGCATTTATTTAAAATAGAAATATTTTGTAATAATATACTATACCATTCAAAAGTTTGGGGTCAGTAATGTTTTTTTCTTTTTTGGAAAAAAAGAAAACCTTTTATTCAGCAAGGATGTGTTAAATTAATAAAAAGTGATAAAAACTTAAATTGTTAGAAAAGAACGGCGGTGTGTGTGTGTGTATGTATATATATATATGAACAACATTAACTTTTAGTTTGCTTAAAATATAATTAAATTTTTTTTTAATTTACTGGATTATATTAAATGAGTCTTAACATTTGTTCACTGAATTTTCATGCATTGTTATACCATTACTGTGACCCAATGACTCATACAGTGGTATTAGATCTTTTCAAATCTCGGCCAGGCCAGAATAAAGTTCCTCACGTAATTTAGGTTTCAGTGTCGTGTTTCCCGCTGTGCTCAAATATATTACTTCTGAGAGTGAGATAGTTAATTAATGAATAGCTAGACGAATGCTTGGTGAAGGGCAACGGAAACACACGGGTGTGAGCACAATGGAAATTCCAGAGTTGGTTTCAAAGTAATGAATGACTAATTATTTAAATGAGGCTCATTGTTTGTTTTGACATAATTGGCACTAATTTGTAAATCTGCGAAGCTTGATGATGGATGTTTTATTTCTTGTCGATGTTTCAGAATGCAGAAGCCAGCTTTGACTTCAGTAGCAACGACCCGTACCCGTACCCGCGCTACACGGACGACTGGTTTAACAGGTAATGAGCTCAGCGTCGCGCCGCTGGACTCACCTCTGTCTCCTGCAGGTGGTGGAGCGGGGCAGTGTGACAGCATGGACTGTGTGAATAGTTCTGATGTGCCATGTGTGTTTGAGTGGATATCAGAATGATTTTTATGTGAAAGTAGCAAGAAACATGAGGTCATGTGAGAATATGGAGTGGGCACAATGCACAGCTTATGCAGCGTTGCATTGCAGGTTTACATTTACTATTTTACAACTTTGAATGTGCCTCATCCAACTGGAATTTTTCTTTTTTTTACCCCTAGTTTTAGTTTTTTTTTTTTAACTTGTGTTGCTTATTGTGAAGCCTTTAAAAAAAAAAAAAAAAAAAAGTTAAACTTCCAAATTAAAAATATAAACCAATAAACACACTATTAACTTTAAGATAATACTCTCTCTCTCTCTCTCTATGACTTTCTACATTCAAGAACTATATCATTATTTATTTATTTTACAGTAGCATTGAATTTGGGTTAGTAAGATTTTTAAATTCTTTTGAAAGAAGTCTCTTACCAGTATCTGCTCAATAAGGCTATTTTTATATGTTAAAAAATACAGTAAAAAAACCAGCAATATTGTGAAAACGTATTACAAAATTATGCATATACAGTATTTGATATTGTTCATATGTTTTATATATATAATTTTTTTTCCTACAATGTTTTACAATAACTCTCTCTCTCTCTATGACTTTCTACATTCAAGAACTATATCATTATTTATTTATTTTACAGTAGCATTGAATTTGGGTTAGTAAGATTTTTAAATTCTTTTGAAAGAAGTCTCTTACCAGTATCTGCTCAATAAGGCTATTTTTATATGTTAAAAAATACAGTAAAAAAACAGCAATATTGTGAAAACGTATTACAAAATTATGCATATACAGTATTTGATATTGTTCATATGTTTTATATATATAATTTTTTTTCCTACAATGTTTTACAATAATAATAAAAAAACTTTGTTTACTTTATTTTTATACCAGTTTTACAAATGAGGATGTCCCCAAATGGAGGTTTTTGGAGATTTTGTCAGGTTTTGCTCACTTTTGGGTACAAATTTGTCCCCAAAATATGGTTAAGTAGGTGCACACACACACACACTGCCATTCCTTTCTAACAATATGTCATTATTTTTCACAGAATTAAAATAACTGTTTTCTATGTGAATATATGTTAAAATGTAATTTATTGTTGTGATCAAAGCTGAATTTTCAGCATATTACTCAGTCACATCATCCTTCAGAAATCATTCTAATATGCTGATTTACTGCTCAAGATACTTTACTGATTATAATCAATGTTGAAAACAGTTGTGCTGCCCAATATTTTTGTGGAAACAGTGATGCATTTTATTTTTCTGTATTCTTTGATGAATAGAAAGTTCAAAAGAACAGCGTTTATTTGGAATATAAATATTTTGTAAGATTTTAAATGTCTTTAGTTACTTTTGATCAATTTAATGTGTCCTTGATGAATAAAACAATTTTTTTAAATATAATTTTAAAGGTGCAAGTAAGCAATTTCTGAGAAACGCTTTTGAAAGCGGATCGGACCAAACACCAAAACACAGATTGTAGCCAATCACCAGTAAGGGGCGTGTCCAGTAGTGATGGTGGAGGTGCCTGTGTTGAATAGCTTGTTCAGAAATTCTGGGGCGGTGGCAAGATAGGGGTGTGATTCTTTTGGGTAGGGGCGTGTTTGGTTTGGTGATTTCAAATATCAACAGCATTTCTCAGAAATCGCTTACTGCACCTTTAATACTATATATTTATAAAGAGAGAGCGAGACCTTAAACACACCTTTATTTATAAATTACACTGTATAGACATACCTCAACCAATCTCATGGCTGTATTAGATCAAAAGGGTGCTTCTACTAAATACTGAGCCAAGGGTCTGAATACTTAGGACCATGTGATATTTCAGTTTTTCTTTTTTAATAAATCTGCAAAAATGTCAACAATTCTGTGTTTTTCTCTCAATATGGGGTGCTGTGTGTACATTGAGGAAAAAAATTTAACTTAAATGATTTTAGCAAATGGCTGCAATATAACAGTGTGAAAAATTTAAGGGGGTCCGAATACTTTCCGTACCCACTGTATACCCACACAAAAACCATAAATAGTTTCACATAAATCAAGCAAATTATTAAATATTTTTTACAATCCTCATTTAAACATGTTTAACGGTCACAAAAACCCCTCATTAATTTAATATCAGTTCATTCTCATAGTCCACTGTGCACAAAACATCATTCAAAGCCCAAATTTCAATAAATATGTCCAGGTTATTTGTCAGTTTAATATATGCAAACTCTGCCTTGATTCTATTTGCTATAAGAGCCTTTAAAACCACCTTAGGAACTACTACCACCTCTCCTTTCAATTTCCTTTTCCGTGTTAACCATAAAGCCATCTTTGCTCCTCCTAACACAAAATTGATTAACAAGATTTTTTTCTTGTCTGAAGCAACATATTTTGGACCAAAAATGAATAATTCATTATTAAACTGTACTCCCAAATCTCTAACCCACCCGTCTAAGATCTGAAACAACCCTCTTAACCTTAAACAACTTAAAAACAAATGATCTATTGACTCATCAGTACCACAAAAAAGGCATTCTTTCCCTACAGTGGGGTCAATGTGTGCCACATGTCTGTTTGTAACTACCGCCCAGTGGACAACCCTCCATTGGAGATCCGCAGTGTGTTTCTCTGTAGGAGGTTTGTACAGGGACCTCCAGCAGCCACTAGGGGATGAGTCTGGCCCGAGCAAATCTGACCACTTTGTCTCTTTGCAATCTTTGAGTACGTTGTAGTAAGACACTTTCACACAAATATTATTTAGTGCCTTTTTTGAAACGGTCTCAAAAGCTTCCAGCACAGGAGTCCTGAAATTTAGAATTGAACCTTCCTCTAGCTCTGCATCCACCGCTGCTGAAATTTCCACTTGGGGAAAATGACTCCCTCTGTTCCATTTGCACCATTCTTTAAATCGGCAACTCTTGCACACCCCGCTCTTGCCATTAAATTCTGTATGCTCCTGGACTCCAGTACCTGTGCTGGTATCAGCGGATTATTAAAAAGAGGTTCATTCTCTGTCCAAAGTCCAATATTTGAGAGATCCCTCTTGACTTTAAAAACTGAAGTCCATGCTCTCAAAACAGTTTTGTAGAATGGGGAAACATCCCTCAAATCCATGTTAGCCAGTTTAATCAAACAGTTGCACATCATAGTTGAAACCATTCATTTTTCTCAACAGCGTGAGAAATCAGCAGCTGTATCAGCCCAGCACGGTTCCGCATACAGCAATCTTTGTGCGGTTTGAAGTCTGAACGTCTTTATTCTGTTCTCAATGTCTATCAGGTCTTGTCCTTCCTCTTGAATAGGTAGGAAAATTAAAGCAGATTTTTTTCCAATGCTGTCCATTCCAGAAAAAGTCAATTAATTTTCTTTGTAGCTCTTTAAACAACACTTTCTGGGGGATCCATAACATTCATTTTATGCCATAATGCAGATGCAGCCAGATTATTCGTGACCAATGCCCTTCCCCTATAAGATAGCTGGGGTAGCACCCATGACCATCGAGACAACCGGTCACACATTTTTTCCACCATACCCTCCCAGTTTTTTTGCCTATATTGCTCTGTTCCTAAAAACACTCCCAACCCTCTCTTCCCCATTTAGCTCCCCCTGGAAGCACAGGAGGGGTCCTCCCCTGCCAATCTCCTAACAAAAATCCTTCACTCTTTTCCCAATTTACTTTGGTTGATGAAGCCTTTTCGTAAATGTTTAAAGCATTTGTTAAATTCCAAACATCTGTATCACTTCTTATAAAAAGTTATATCATCAGCATAAGCAGAAATAGTAATTGGTCTATTTTCACAACCATTAACTAAAAACCGCTGCAATTTCTCCCTAAGTTTGTATAGTAAAGGTTCAATTGCACAACTGTCCTGATAAAGCTCTGTTCCTAAAAACACTCCCAACCCTCTCTTCCCCATTTAGCTCCCCCTGGAAGCACAGGAGGGGTCCTCCCCTGCCAATCTCCTAACAAAAATCCTTCACTCTTTTCCCAATTTACTTTGGTTGATGAAGCCTTTTCGTAAATGTTTAAAGCATTTGTTAAATTCCAAACATCTGTATCACTTCTTATAAAAAGTTATATCATCAGCATAAGCAGAAATAGTAATTGGTCTATTTTCACAACCATTAACTAAAAACCGCTGCAATTTCTCCCTAAGTTTGTATAGTAAAGGTTCAATTGCACAACTTCAATTGGTACAACGGTCCTGATAAAGGACAGCCTTGCCTTATACCTCTATGAACTAACACTGGATAACTTAGCCCACCTCCAACCTTTAACAATGCAGAAGCTCCAGTGTATAGCAGTTTAATCCAAGAAATAAAATTCACACCAAAACCAAATGCTTTAAGAGTTTCAAATAAATAAAAATGATCAACTTTATCAAAAGCTTTCTCTTGAGCAATTGACAGAAAACCTACATTCTCATTACTAGCATTTGCTAAATTCATTACATCACGCACAAGAAAAAGATTGTCCATTATTGAATAAGTTTGAAAATCATTAATAACATACTCTAAAAAAAAATGTTTTAAACGATTTGAAAGACACTTAGCAAGAATTTTATAATCCGTGCACAGTAAGGCTACCAGTCTCCAGTTCTTTAACAATCCAAAGTCACCTTTTTTAGGTAATAAAGACAACCGCTCTTCTACAACTTGTCGGCAGTTCATTTTTCCTATGAGAAATTTAAAAAAAAAAGCATCAAGTAAATCCTCTTTTAAAAGAGTCCAGAATTGCTTAAACTCAGAGGGAAGTCCATCGATGCCAGGAGACCGACCATTAGAGAGTTTCTTTACAGCCTCTGCTATTTAGTCTAATTGAATGCCCGCATTGTCTCTGATCATCAGTGAGCTTTGGCAAATTTCTTAGCAGGTCATCCATGCAATGAA